TAAATCTGTGGAATTTCAGCTTTTGCTGTATCCAAGCGACATAGTTTACAGTTTGCTGGATGCAGAAAAATTCCCTTCATTAAAAGCCAAAATAGTTGTTGAATGGGAGGTTTAAGAAAGGAAAAATGAAAGAACTTGCAAAAAAAATTAACAAAGGAAAGGACTAAGGATCTAATAAAGAGGAAAACATTTAAAGAGGTAACATGTGCTCAAAAGCAGATTTTTATTTTAAATATCCCTTTAAGAAATCAGAAAGCACCAGACATGTAGAGCTCCCTCTTGGTCACTGTACTGACAGGGGCCACAGTAACACAAGTTTATTCCTGAGCTTGGAGTCTGCTCACTTATGCAAGTATCACTGCACTTTTTAATTGTATGGCTATTTTTTACTCTTTGCTTAGATACTGCTGGAGTGTCTTCATGATGCAGTTGTTCTTAAGTAATGACTTCATTTGGTTTAAGCTCATGGAAATGAAGCTCAGTATTTAAAAGCAGAATTTTTGACTCCATCAGTTTAGAATTACTTTGCTTAGAGCAAATCCCATATGGTTTGTCACCTCCCTTGGTTTAAGCCTCAGCCCTCAACAGGTTTTCAGAATAAACAGGTGAGGAGACATTAGGACAATTTTGGAAGGTCCTGAATTAATATGAAAGTGTGTTTCGCGGGGGAGGGGGGGCAAGTTGTTTATGACTCAAGTCCTTTATAGCCTGAAGACAGTTTAGGCTTTCACGCCAGTTAAGCTCTCCTGCTGTTCCAGCAAAGGATGCGAGAGAAAAGAGAATTGCTCCAAGCCAGATGACAGCTCACCTAGGTGTGAAAATCTCTGACCTTCGCTAAACCTAAGCAAACTTAGATGATGTGCTTTTTTTCCTTCTTGTGAGGTGCATATACAGCGCATCTCAGTGTGTGTGTGTGTTTGCATGTGCCTGTCTCCTACCACACCTCTCAGGATGGAACAGACACTGCTGCTGCTTTGTCGGTGATTGCAATCTGGTGCCACAGAGGTACAAGACACCTAGGTGAAATTTTGTTTCAGTGTCAAACAAGTTAATTCCTCTCTGTGTGTTTAGAGACAGCACAATTTAGATTTGTCTCTGTGCAGGTAAAAATGCTCCACCACTGGAAATGTTCATGGCCAAGGATGGATGGGGCAACCTGGTCTAGTGGAAGGTGTGAGTTGGAATATGATCTTTAAGGTTCCTTCCAACCCTGACATTTCTATGCTTCTGTGAAATCCATTGTTGCCCAATGCATAAATATTTACTACATTTCTGTTTGCATCAGGTCCATCCAGACCTCTCTTACACCTGAGCAGCTGAGTGGCTCCATTCTGAATGAAAAGGCAGATGATGAGGCAAAGCACAACTGCTCAGGGGCTTGGAAACTGCCCAGCTCTGCAGGGCTGTGCTGGACATCTTCTCCTTCCCCAGGGTCCTCAGAACAGTGTTATCCAACCTCACTTCAAAATCGGAATTATTTGCTCTTAGCAAACAGCAGTGGGTGAATTTGGGATTTAGTTTATTTACCTTCTGAAGGATAAGGCCAAGGAGTGGCACTTCTGCCAACACACCTACCCAGCAGCTTCCCTCCTGCAGCAGAGGTGTAGCCTAATGGCCAGAGCTGATGGGTCAGGGCTAGGTCTGCTTGGCCTTACTGCCACTGACAGCAGTTCTCCCTGACCCAAAACAGCATGAACTCTAAGGCCTTACCCTGTGCATGTGAAAGCACTTTAAAACTTTAAATTAGGGATGTGCACTGGAGGCTGAGCAAGGGATGATACCTTCATCCATCTGGGATGTATGGAAATGGCTCCTAAACCACCCTGTTAGGCTCTGAGTCCATATGTTTGCTAGATCAGCTCCTAAATGATTACACAGAGAATTCAGAACATCAGATCACATTGTCACAGTATCACTGATTAATAAAGGATGTTTCTACAAGTTCATTCTAAACTTGTTACAGAATTACATGTCACTCCCTAAAGGACAGAACTTTTCTGAGGGGAAAAGCAGCAAGTTTCCAGCTAAGACCCTAAAGGCTCCCAATGAACTTTTCTGACGGGAAAAGCAGCAAGTTTCCAGCTAAGAAAGAAACTAAATGGTTTGGGTTTGCTTTCAGATTTTCTACATACATGTGTGTGTGAGCTTGTGTGCAGGAAACACTAGTCCTGATGCTACAAAACCCTCTGGTTGTTCATGTCTGTGAAAAACCCACAGGGATGAAACCAAAGCAGAACTGCTCCCAATGAACTTTTCTGACGGGAAAAGCAGCAAGTTTCCAGCTAAGAAAGAAACTAAATGGTTTGGGTTTGCTTTCAGATTTTCTACATACATGTGTGTGTGAGCTTGTGTGCAGGAAACACTAGTCCTGATGCTACAAAACCCTCTGGTTGTTCATGTCTGTGAAAAACCCACAGGGATGAAACCAAAGCAGAACTGCATCATTTTCAGTTTGTACCAGGTGGAAATGACAGGTGGAAGCTGCTGACCTTTGGGGTCTTTATGCTGTACACAGGCATTGTCAGTTGGAAATTATTGTCACAGGAAACCATTAAAGTAGCATATTCCCTATGGAAGTCAGTGAAAGAAAGCAGTCAGAGAGTCCAGGGCAGAGCCAGGAACTGGCTTTCCAATGTGCTGTCAGATTTCTCTCACTGAAGGAGAGTTGGGTGTCTCCAGAACACCCCATGATTAATTAGTTTGAATCTTCTATATTATGCCATGCTCTGCTGCACATATGTGTCCCCTACACCTGGTGTCACACTCTTCCACAGCAATAATTTAGATATTAAGCCAGGTAAAAGGTCTTCACCTTTGTATTTGCTCTCTTCCCTAAGAAGCATATGGGAATGTCACCGTTCAGACAGCTCTGCTTTCCAAATTCCTCTAGGCTTAAAGCATAAAAAAGAAGAAAGCATTCACAGAATTCAGGTCCACACCCAGGTTCAAGCCCTATATCATGGATTCTAAAAGAAAAAGGGAAAAGAAGAAGGAATCTGGAACACCTTTACAGCATTACTTTGCAATTACACTGACATAGAAGGCTCTGTGTTTGTATCTCTAAAGGGGTCTAGGTCCACAATTTAAAAATCAATTTACATATTTATTAACTCCAGTAAATAGATGTAAATGACCTTGAGAGTTGTTGAACATGAGCATTTTTCCTGAAGGCAAATATTTCACTGAGACTCTTTGGTCTGGAAGGACGGGGAGTGTAGTAGAAGGGGCATGGAGAAGTATATTTCAGAGAAAAAATCCCTTTCATCATGTTTGAATGCTATGAAGAGATGGCAAAAAGCAAGCCCAGAGCCCAGCTTCCCTTGCATACACCCCTTTTAATTATGATTATCTTGGAAGACAACTCCCCAGAGCTCTGCAGAGGGGACTCGCCTGAGAAAGCTTTCTCACGTTCACGTCTGGCTGCCTCTCTGTGTGAGCAGGGGCAGTGGTCCCGGGAGAGGAGGCAGCCTGGAATGCAGCACGGGGCTGGGGGCCCAAGCCCCACTGGCTGAGGTCGCTGGGAGACCTTGGCCATGCAGCCTCTGCCTCCTGCATAACACACATACCCACACACGAGCTAGCGAGTCATATGCACTCTGGGTTTTTTTCTCTCTGTTTGCAGCTGGTCTATTTGATCTCTGTGTGCCTGAGCTGTTTGCTGTTGTGAGTGTCTTGCCATGATCAAAACCTTATTATGTCGAGCAATGTTGTAGTGTCATATATTGGGAAAGGGCAGTGGAGTATAGCAGCAGCAGCTACAATACTGGGAGGACAACAAAGGCAACAATAACCTCCCTCCAGTGTATTTGGATTGATTCACTGAGAGGACTGAACATCACTTTGCTCGTGGTGGGTATAGATGGTTTCAACAGCTACTCCCTCTGCTGCTGGTGAGCTCGTGCAGTCACACATCCCTGTGTGTCTGTGAAAAGATCAGAGAGGACATGACTGCACACATCTGGGTAGCTCCTGTAGGTCTTCAGCAACTCAGATGTTGTGATTCACACTTCCAGCT